TGACTCGGCCGAGGACCTGGTAGCCGCCTGGGATCGGGCGGCTGGTGGGGCCTTGGACCGAGTTGTGCCTTTGCAGCCTCTGACCCGATGCCGATCCCGGGTGGCTCCTTGGTTTACTGAGGAGCTGAGGGAAATGAAGCGCCGGAAAAGACGCCTGGAGAGCGGTTGGAGGGCCAGTCTCGCTGAATCTGATCGAACACTGGTAAGGTCGCATATTAAGGCCTACCTAGTGGCGATAAAGACGGCAAAGTCTAACTACTTTTCCGCCTCTATTGCGTCATCAGGGAATCGTCCGGCCGCCCTGTTTAGGGTGACCCGCGCCCTGCTCCATCTGGGAGTGCGGGAGGATCCCTTAGAAGGCAGGGCGGAGGATTTCGGACAATACCTGTATGACAAAATCGCTCAGATCCGGGGGGATTTGGACTCTGACTGGGTAGATCAGGGCAGGGTGACGAGGAACAGTCTTGAGAATGTTATCTGGGAGGAGTTTGATGCTGTGACTCCCGATGATGTGGACAGGATTTTGGGGAGACTTAGTGCGGCCACATGTTTACTGGACCCGTGTCCCTCCTGGTTGGTACTGGCTTCCCGGGAGGTTACACGAGGCTGGCTCCAGGGCGTTATTAATGCTTCCTTGAGTGAGGGTCACTTCCCCGCTGCCCTGAAAGAGGCGGTGGTGAGGCCTCTCCTCAAGAAGCCGTCCCTGGACCCAGCAATATTGGCTAACTATCGTCCTGTCTCCAACCTTCGCTTCATTGCGAAGGTTGTTGAGAGTGTGGTCGTGCAACAGTTTCCACAATTCCTGGAGGAAACATCCTATCTGGATCCGTTCCAGTCAGGTTTCAGGTCTGGGCACAGCACGGAAACGGCATTGGTCGCGCTGGTTGATGATCTCTGGAGGGCTCGGGACAGGGGTTATTCCTCTGTTCTGGTCCTATTAGATCTCTCAGCGGCTTTTGATACCATCGACCATGGTATCATGCTGCACCGGCTGGAAGAGTTGGGGATGGGAGGCACCGTGTTACGGTGGTTCTCCTCCTTTCTCTCCGACCGGTCGCAGTTTGTGTTGGCAGGGGGGCAGAGGTCGACCTCGAGGCCTCTCATTTGTGGAGTGCCGCAGGGATCGGTCCTCTCGCCCCTTCTGTTCAACATTTATGTGAAGCCGCTGGGTGAGATCATCCGTGGCTTTGGGGTGAGATACCACCAGTACGCTGATGACACCCAGCTGTACATCTCCACCCCAGGCCACCCCAACGATGCCCTTGAAGTGATGTCCCAGTGCCTGGAGGCTGTGCGGATCTGGATGGGGAGGAACAGGCTCAGGCTCAACCCTTCCAAGACTGAGTGGCTGTGGCTCCCGGCATCCCGATATAGTCAGTTGACTCCATCACTGACTATTGGGGGCGAGTCTTTGGCCCCCACTGAAAGGGCTCGCAATCTGGGAGTCCTCCTGGATAGGCAGCTGTCTTTGGAGGAACATCTGACGGCTGTTACCAGGGGGACCTTTTATCAGGTTCGCCTGATTCGCCAGTTGCGGCCCTTTCTTGATCGGGATTCCCTGTGCACAGTCACTCATGCCCTCGTCACCTCTCGCCTTGACTACTGTAACGCTCTCTACATGGGGCTCCCCTTGAAGAGCACCCGGAGGCTCCAGCTGGTCCAGAATGCAGCAGCGCGGGTAGTGATGGGAGCAACATGGCGCTCCCATGTAACACCACTCCTGCGCGAGCTGCACTGGCTCCCGGTGGTCTTCCGGGTGCGCTTCAAGGTGTTGGTTATCACCTTTAAAGCGCTCCATGGCATAGGGCCTAGCTATCTCCGAGACCGCCTGCTGCTACCGATGACCTCCCATCGACCCGTGCGCTCCCACAGAGAGGGCCTCCTCAGGGTGCCATCAGCCAAACAATGTAGGCTGGTGGCCCCCAGGGGGAGGGCTTTCTCTGTGGGGGCTCCCACCCTCTGGAATCAGTTGCCCCCGGAGATAAGAAGAATCCAGGACCTCAATGCCTTCCGTCGTTCCCTGAAAACCTATCTTTTTCAGCAAGCCGGGTTGGCTTAAGAAGAAATTTTAAAATTTTTAAATCCTTTTAATTAGTCTGCGATTTTTAATTTTTTAGGCCAAATTTTATATATATTTTTAAATGTTTTAATATTTGTATTCTATGTTTTTTATCTTGGCTGTACACCGCCCTGAGTCCTCAGGGAGAAGGGCGGTATATAAATTCGAAATTAAATTAAATTAAATTAAATGCATTGTAAGCCACCCTGAGTCTCCGGAGAAGGGCGGCATATAAATCAAATTTTATATATATACATATATATATATATATATATACATATACATACATACATACATACATACATATATATATATATATATATATAATATATATATATATATATACATACATATATATATATACACATACATATATATATATACACATACATACATACATACATACATACATACATATATATATATATATATATATATATATGTCTTCTTCTTCTTCTTCTTTTTTGCACACACACACACACAAACACACATACACATATACACAGAGGAAAAACATCTGTTTTCTTACATTTCAGATCACATTTGCTTAACAGGGTTCTCCATGTATTTAGTCTGTAATTTTCAGTTTTACAGGCCTTTTAAAGGTTGCTTAATGTCATCACACATGTCAAATTATAGTGCTGGCATTAGTCAGTAGTGATTAAAACCAAAGAAGATGAGAAAGAAACTCATCAGAGTCTCTCTCTCTCTCTCTCTCTCTCTCTCTCTCTCTCTCTCTCTCTCTGTGTGTGTGTGTGTGTGTATGTGTATGTGTATGTGTATGTGTATGTGTATGTGAGACGGGGGGGGGGGAGAGGGAGAAGGAGAGGGAGAGGGAGGGGAAGAGGGAGGGAGAGATAGGGATATATATCTCCTGAACAATTGGCTGTGCGGGCAGAAAGAGAAACACAGCTGCAGCTAGTAAGTATAGATGACCAGCCGTCCATGTGGGCTAGAGAAGAGATGCAGCTGCAGCTGGTCAGTGGTGAAGAGGAAGAGTTGTGTCCCCCACAGGATCCTAGGTTGTGCAGAGTCAGGTGGAGGGAGGAACAATGGTGGTTGGTGACACTACTCATGAGGAGGCAGCCTCACACTTTCTAATGAGTCGCACTGGTCAGCATCTATTTAGCTCAGAGTCTGGAGCTTGAGGGTTGTTGGAGACAACCATTCACAATCTGTTGTTCGTGCTCTTGACTTCGTTGGACCCATTAATTAGTTCATGCTTTGACTCCTTGATTCTGTAATGTTTTTCTCATTGCTTTTGACTATGGATTTGTATTGACTTTGTTGTGCCATGATCCCTTTGACTTCATGTGACTTCCTAATCCTTTGGATCTATGGACTTCTATGGACTTTTTTGGGCCCTGCTGACTTCCTAGTCTCTTGGACTAGTCATTTACTTTGTTGGGCTTTGACTCCATTGACTTTGCAGGAAGCAAGACTGCACTTGTGATCAGGATTTGGGAAATAACAAAGGGTCTTGGTAGTGTGGAATAAACATGTTAAACCGTGTGTGTGTGTGTGTGTGTGTGTGTGTGTGTGTGTGTGTGTGTGTACTGGGACAGGACATTAAGTGAATCTGGCTTCCACATTGACTTTGGTTGTCAGAAGGTTGCAAAAGGTGATCACATGATCTTGAGACGTTGCAACCGTCATAAATATGAGCCAGTTGCCAAGTGTCTGAATTTTGATTACGTGACCACAGGGATGCTGCAATGGTTATAAGTGTGAAAAACGGTCTTATAAGTCACTTTTTTCTGTGCTATTATAATTTCGAATGGTCACTAAACAAAATACAGGACTATCTGTATTAAAAAAGGAGAAATATCGATTCCATCTCTGTCAGGTTCAGTTCTTGCTGCTTTTATGCAAGTGAGAATTATCACCACCATAGTCCCTGGGCATTTCCTTGGTCTCCTTACATTCAAGGTAATCCACTTGAATAAATCCAAGCCCCTTTTATTTTCTAGGAATTCTGTTTGCCTATGCAAGTACCTAGGTAGGACATAGTTTCAAGGTAAATTCCATCTGTGGAAATGAATGAAGGACAGATCTGAAGCAGAGGTCGAACAATTCTGGTCATAAATGCCTCCAAAGATGGTCATTTAAATACAAATGGAGTTCACAGTCACTGAAGGCACTAGGTTTTCCCCCATTTCCTCACACACATCGGGTAGTTTCTTATAGAACCTCTCACATAGCCTAATTGTGAACTATATACTGAGGAGGTAAAGAGAGAAAGGGAATAGATCCCACTATCTTCTGCCAATTATAAGAAAAAAATTTCCACTCCTATTTTTAATATATCCAGGGAGGAGGAATCCCTTGTGTTTTGCCTTTTACAATCCAGGAGTTATCACCCCATTTTCTGTTAGAGAAAAGCCCAACATTTTTACTTTAAATGGCCCCTTCCTGATTTGGGAACATAAAGATAGCAAAATCTTTACCTGTAACTCTATTCTATTACTTTGTCTTGTACTGATTTTGAAAACAGAACCAGGATTTGACTGACAAGGCTTACTCTTCTCTGAAGCCTCCTAAAAGCTGCTGCAAATAGTGTCACTAAACCGGCTTCTCCTGAAGCCAAGAGGAATCTGCCAGCAGCAGCCAGAGCTCTTATTAACTTATCTTTTGCCCCAGAACTCACAGCTGACTTAGATGGCTTACAAAGGAAATTAGACAAATTAATGGTGAGTGAAGATAAGCCTATCAGAGGCTATTATCTGTAAGCAAATAATTTTTGACTTATGTCCCTACCAAATTTTAATGAAGGTGCACTAAAATGTAGCTAGGCTTTTAAAATAATTTGACAGAGCAATTATGCATCTTAATATGGGAAATAAGACTTATTGAATGGGACTTATTTCAAGTACAAGTTAACATTGTGATTTGATGCATAGTTACCTAACAATGATTCATTGATTGATTATGTGCTATCAAATAAGTTTTATTTATTTATTTAGCATATGGCATCTACAGAGGTCATGCAGTCAAGTAGGTGTCAACTCTTAGCAAGCATACAGATTTTTTCCTCAGGAGAATCTGTCCCTCACATGGTCCTTCTACTCTTTCAATGGTGCACCCATCACCACTGTAACTGAGTTCATTCACCTTGCTGTTGGTCATTCTCTTTTCTTCCACCTTTCCCAGCATTAGAAACTTTCTGGGTCTTTTCATAAAGACTCCGAATGAATACAATGCAATAAGTACAATGAATATAAAATATTTGGCTTTATTTTGACCAAGTAGGCTATCTAGGCTCTAAATTTTATTACAATCTAGTAAACTTGTTCAGCGTACCATTACTCTTTGCTCCTTAAATTTTAAGTTTTGGGATATATTATGTTTTATAGTTTTATGGATTTGGCTTAGTTCATGTTGTAAACTGTCTGGAGAACTTCTCATTATAGGTCAGTATACAAGATGCAAGTATATAATATTGTCAGATTATAAATTATGCTTTAATTTTGGGGGGTGGATTGGAATGTGATGCCATAGTACATATGAAATCTTTATTAATAGCTGGTGCCTCCACCATCTTTGGGGTAAAGAAGTGACAGTCACGGAACGATCAGGTTTGATGTATATCTGCCTCTTCCATGAATTGAATGATGGGTTGCCAGATCTTTTCTTGATGAATAATGTGTTTTGTTCAAAAACTTTCGATTGTCCAGAATCAACTTCTACCAATCAACAAAACTAAGAATGTCTACTTTGGTAAGATATGGATGGAGGAAAACCTCCTTTGATCACATTCATCATGTATATTATATTCTGTAATCTTCTATGAGTTAATCCAATGCTGATTCCTTGTATTAGATAATAGTAGCTTTATTCATATTTTCTTGACCTAAACCATGATTTTAAAAAATCAAATGAATCCCTGGTATTCTCAAATGAATCATTTCCACATACAAGGAGACAATCCATCCTTTTTCTGGTCCTACTGGAAGAGCCTATAAAATGGCAGAGACTTGATTTCAAGTTTCTTTGCACATCCTGGAATTTGGGTGTGTGTGTGTGTGTGTGTGTGTGTGTGTGTGTGTGTGCTGTCTTTGAAAGCTGCTGGAGAACGCATGGCCTCTTTCTCACCCTTGTTTTGTCCCCTCTCTGTCTGACACGGCAGGCATGCTGAACAAGAGTGGCATAAGAATCGATCTGCAGGCAATCAGTGACACAGCGGCTGGCCAGAGCCATACTCCACACCATCGATTGGCTCCAAATCAATTTGCACACCACATTCTCCTCTCAGGTTACCTGCCATTTCAGGCAGAGAATGGAATGGTGAAGTGAGAAGGAAATTGCACCCAAGTATGTTGGGACCTCTATTTGTAACCTCAAAGGTCACCAACAGGTGACCTCTCTCTGTTCATATTTCTGTGCCTACGCTCTGTTAGAAAATATGAGATGGATCTGTTTTGATAGGTGGAAGGACAGCTTCTACCTATATAGAAAAAAACAAACAAAAACAAAACAAAAACAGCCTCACCTTTTTTCCTATGCTTTATTTTAGAACTTTCTACCTGTGTTCTGAAATGATACAATCTAATACCTATTTTGTGAAATTGTGCAGTTCAGTTTTTGGGACTAGGGCTCTCTTCACTGGCATTTTGTTCTAATGCTGACCTGTTTCCAAACTCCCAAATCCATGCATATGATATCTCCCTTTACTTTTGTGGAGGATTGTGCTACACTCAAACATAGCAACTAAAGCCTTACTGGGGATGAATTCGCACTGTAGTCTAGAGTTGCCTAAAATGAATTTGGGAAATTTGAGTTCAGCATCTTGTGGGAAGCAAGACCTTGTTTTAGCAGGTTGATCTAACAAGGCCACCATATTAAGCCATAACAAGGGTTTCTAGTTTGAGCCTACTGAATACTGGAATACTGCAGTTGTGTTTGTTGTTCTGATTCAGGGTTAAACATGTGTCAAACCAGTCAGGGCATTTCATGGCTGAGCAAGAACTAGATGTATTTCTCACCATTTCAAGTCCAGCATTTTAGTTTTTACAACTTAGTTCTTAGCCTTTTTGCCAAGATTTGAAACTTGGAGATTCTCTTTTTGTTGTTGTTAGTCGCAAAGTCGTGTTTGACTCATCGCGACCCCATGGACAACGTTACTCCAGGCCTTCCTGTCCTCTACCATCCCCTGGAGTCCATTTAAGCTCACGCCGACTGCTTCAGTGACTCCATCCAGCCACCTCATTCTCTGTCATTCTCTTCTTCTTTTGCCCTCAGTCGTTCCCAGCATTAGGCTCTTCTCTAAACTGTGGCAAATTCTCAGATGGTTCTTGTTCCTTATGTTAGTTGCAAAAGGCAATGTTGTTTCCTTCAGATTCACCAAATACTCCCTAAAGAATACACACAAAGTATGAGCAATGCACACATATTCTCACAAGAATGTATTTTTTTTTAAGCACACCCAAACTTCTAGGCAGAGGGACACAGACATTTAGGAAAATATATTTGCCCTTCACACTGTATGTTTGACAGGAGCCATGAAAAAGTATGACGACTTCATAATGTGGAAAACTCTCTTAGAAACACTGATGGCCTTCTCCACACATTCAAAAAACAAGTGAATGTTCATTGCAGCCATTTCCTAGAGTGTAGAAATATGCATATACACCATTTACCCCAAGCATATCAGTAATAACCTCAAGACCCCCACTATATCTTCTATTCATTCTCAGAGTCAGCTGGGTAGACTGATATTTGCAGCATCAAGTAAGCAATCTCCTCTAGCAAACTCGTGTCTTTTTAGCCTGTGTTCCTCTAGATTCCACCTCTTCTTTGGTGGAGTGTTTAAGATGAAGAGAGTTCCTTGGGGAAGGGAGGCTTAGGGTTTATTGACTCTGAAAGTCCACATTCTAAGGCCCTCAATTCAAGGGCCATCACAGGTTGCTGTTGCTTATCACAATGACACTAAAACAATGAATCCTACATCATGACATCACAATTCTAATGCTGCCCTTTCATACTTGTATTGCAACATTGCAGACAAATATGTGATTAGTTGAGTTTGTGGCATGATGTTACAATGCAATCTGTCACTCCTCCTACCAAAGAACACAGTCAGGTTCCACCTTAAGAAAGATTCTTGATCAGTCTCACTGCCCAGCATCTTTGCCTTGAATGATGCTGCCCTGAATGAACTGATGGGTTTCTCCTTTTCTGGATCCAGTTGGTCATAGCCCATCATTCCCTTGGGAGAAGGAAACAGTTTTAACCAGCTCAAGCCTAACTCTTGGCAAGTGTTCTAAACAGGAACAGCATACATCAGATAGTAGGCTTTATAAGAGAAGAGTCAGAGTAACACTATGTTTTTGCTTCCTTACTGCACTGAATCTCCATACGAACTGTTTAAGATGCTCAGATGCAAACATGCCTCTGTTTTACAATCTGTAGCTTGTAGAAATGAATGTATGGCCTGCTAAGTGCAACCTACATGCTTCTAAGCGTACAGAATGGTTCCAATACACACGTTTTCAAGTATAGTTCCATGAACCTGAAATCTGCAGTTACTCTGGCTGGATCATTGGCTCAGGATTGAGGTGATGAGTGAAAAGGAGTTTCCTGAACTGGGAGCTGAACTAAAAAAGGATAAATACCCCGAATGATGGAGGTTTAGTTCCTCCTAACAACAGTAGCTTACTTTTAAATTATTTATACAACCTCTGTGAAAGTGCATGGATGCTGCCTTTTCACTCCACATACATTCTACAGTGCCATTCTGAGGAGGCTTTGAAAGAAACATAATTGAACTTTGCTTCCTACTGGCCACAAAACCATAGTAGAGGCAACTTGAGGAAGAAAATAGACAAGAGGAAATATTCTTCTCTTTCTCATCAGCAACAATGTGAGAAATAGCTAATGCTAATGTTTCCAGCAATTGGAAAAACTAGAACTGTTGATGGGGTACTTGAACCTCAAGTATGAAAAAATAGCTTCCCATTTCCCAAAGTGCAGGCAGTACAGCCTTTTGGTCTCAAGATGGCACCAATCACCTGTTAAAACAGGCCTGGCAACAGCAATACAAATTAAACAAAGAGATTTCACAGTTTGCTGCTGTCTGTTGAAAAGAGTTTTGTGACCTGTTGAGATGATGTTAGTTATACTTGTGCGCCTTCTGTAACACAGCTGAGAAAGGAAAAAGGCACAGCCGTAAGGAGAACAAGAGAATCAATGGGTAAGGTGAAAAACAGCTTGGGAGACACTCCTTTAACTGTTGTTAATATTTAAGAAAGGTGATTAACTATTGTCTCAAAGGAAGCAATTCAAATATCTCTTTTTCCATTCATATTTTTTTCTGCCTTTATTGCAGAAAAGAAGGTATTGAAGATCAAGAGTCCAAGGAGCTGCAAGAGTGAGGGGAATGGTAGAATCATTTGATCAATGAAGTTTCAGGATGTTTTCTTACACATTTATATGGTAATGCCCTTGTCTTTGCTGCTTTGCCGAGCAAGTCAAGTTAGAAAGACAACTCCTGCCCCAACAGGAGGGAGGCCTGGAGATAGAGGACCACTCTAGGCATATGCAGTTAGATAAAGCTTTTGTAGGGGATACGAAATCAAAGAGTTAAACCAAAATATTGCATGGGATGCAAGCATGACTGGCACTTTAATGTACAATTCTTTCTAGACCAGTGTTTCTCAGTCTTAGCAACTACAAGCTGGGGAACAAGGGGAATTCTGGGAGTTGAAGTCCACATATCATATAACATACATGAAGATACCAAGGTTGAGAAACAGCGTTCTAGACTAGCAGTCATTTAGAATCCCCATCTGCTCTCCTATCAATAGTTACATTAACTGATGCTGCAGTTGCCATGTCTTCCACTGATTTAAAAGCCCCTGCTCTTTTTTGTAAGGAAAGAACTAGGAGAGACATGGGTAAAGAAATTTGGAATTTTGCCTAACAATAGCAAGCTTTAAAAAGCTTCCCCGTCCTTTTAAATGAGGTTGTTGAAAGATTGTTTGAGGGAAAAATCAGAAATGGATTTCTGTACAAAAGGACAGAAATTCCTTGCAGCATTGTAGAAGTGCCGTTCCTTAATTCTTTGTTTATGTTTGCTCCCCTGAGCCAATATTTTTTATCTACCCAGGTTGAGAGACCATTTAATAAAGCAAAAAAAAAAAAAAGTAGATCACACAAACTTGACCTCTAGCCATTCCTAAACTAGAATCAATTAATTGTCTCCAGATTTATGCAAAGTAGCTCAAAACATACTTTGAATAGCAGGTAGTATATGAAGGTGCCAGCTGTGCACTACATAGCGCCTTAGTGCTCACATGAATGCATTTTGGGAGGGGTATTCACCACCAATCTAACTCACATCTGGAAGGAAAGAATATTCAGTTCCTCAGAAGCCATTTTCCAGACTGCTGGGATTACTCCCATATAGCTTTTTGAGGTGGAAGTGGGGCCCTCAGTATGAACTGCTGAGGAATGTTGTAAACACCTTCATTCCCCCCTCCACCCACCCCGAAATCTTGCATTTGCTATAAAGAACCAGAACTTGCCTTCTGAGGGATTTAAGTCTAGCTGTTTCAAAAGCATTTCCTTTGAGATCTAGCCTGATTCTGAAGCAGCTGGAACTCTCATGTCAGGGGGAAACTTGTATAAATCTTTGCCCCGCTTGTCTATTGCATTGCATTTTAAATATACTTGAAGCTACCTGAGAAACCTTTTGGCAGGCTGTAAGTATTTTAATGAATACTTAATTACTTCCAGTTCTGTTGCAAAGTATTATCCATTCCTGCCAAATATGGGCCTTTGAACAAATTACAGATAGCCGTTGACCTACGACCACAATTGAGCCCAAAATTTCTGCTGCTAAAGTGAGACATTTGTTAAGTGAATTTTACGACCTTTTTTGTTACAGTTGTTAAGTGAATCACTGCAGCTGTTAAGTTACTAACATGGTTAAGTGAATTGGTTTCCCCATTGACTTTGTCAGAAGGTTGCAAAAGTTAATCACATGACCCTAGGACACTGTAACCATAATAAATAGGAGGCAATTGTCAAGCATCTGAATTTTGATCACATGTTCATGGGAATGCTGCAACAGTCGTAAGTGTGAAATAATGGTCATAAGTCATTTTTTTCAGTGCTATTATAACTGAATGGTCACTAAATGAACTGTTGTAAGTCAAGGACTACCTGTATCTTTCTCAGTTTGGTATCTTCTTAACTTTTTTTTTATAAAGTTTTTATTTTTATTTTTCATAAACACATTTACATGTACAGTCATCTCCATCATTTTTCATTCATCTTTTCTTTTAAATTTCATTTTTAATTTTTATTTTTTCGGGGCTGCTCTTTTACACTTTACCTTTACTCCAACCTTTCTTTTTCTCTTCCCCTTCCCTTCCTTCCTGTTTCTCCTCCTACTTCCTTTGTTTTTCCTCTCCTTCTCTTTCTTACTTCCCCTTCTCTTCCCCCACTCCTCTCTTCTTCCCCCCTTCTAACCTTCTCCGCTACTCCTCTTTCCCCTCCTTCTTCTTAACTTGAGGGGAGTGAATGTCCAGACTGGTTAGCAATTTTAAGAGCCATCGTTTCAATACATCCAAACAACAGCAAGTAATGGGAGGCAGGAATGCAGTGAATTGGATGGGAGAAATCCAAGAAATACCAGAACTGTGTTCTAGTTTAGGAAGATGAAGACATATCCGGGAAGAAGGAACTAGCAGTCAGGGATGGGTCCATTTAAGTCACTATGTGTCAAGCTCAATTCAAAAGAGACTTTACTTTCAACATGGGCTTTCAGAAATTCTTGTAGCAGAGGGATGGGAAATTTTCTATGGGCTGGTCCTAACACAGCTGCAGATGTAAAAATCCAAGTAAAGGGTCTCCCTCTCTCACCCACTCCCAGGCTATGGCTTTACTTAAAGCAGTGATGGCTAACCTTTTCCGGACCGAGTGCCCAAAGTGCGCATGTAGGTGCCCGTGAATGCATATGCCCGTGCCCAAACTCCCAAAGTGCAATGTGTGTGCGCCCCCTACATGCATTCCACCCCCGTGCATCCACATGCCCCCCGCATGTGCCCTGCCCCACTGCATGCACACGTGGCCCCTGGCATATGCCCTGCCCCCCGTACATGCACGCACAGACCCCACATACGCCCCTCCCCCGTGTATGCGTGGCAGAGACCCGAAGACCAGTTAGCAGGTGGGAGGCGCACACGCTTGCACAGCGGGGCTGAACTGGGGTGACGGCTCGCGTGCCCACAGAGAGGGCACTGCGTGCCATAGGTTCGCCATCACGGACTTAAAGGATCGTCTGGTTCTTTCTTTGACCTGCTTCCTTTTAGCTTGAAGCCCATCTTTTGTTGGGTGCATTTGTTCAAGTTTCCTGTGTGATGACTTGGGATGCAGCTTCATTATCCTAGCAATGGTTCTGTATAATGTTAACAATTTAGCTACAGCACCCACGAACAGGAGCCTGTTCTGCTGCAAATGGATGAAAATGATTTGGTTGCATTCACAAAACAGACAAGAAGAAACAGGGTTGATTACCTTCAAGCTATCAAAAGTTAGAAATATTGAATATCCCATAGTGGTTTTAGATTTTCCAGCCTCAGGGGTTTCCATATGCAGTTTTCCTGTATGGATGGGGACTAGGATTAAAGACTAGGAATTGCTGCTATCCAGGCGGTGTTGACTCTCAGGCAGGAGATGAAAAGAGTATCAATCAAAACTGGCCCAAGGCAGAGCAGCCCATCCTCGTCCCAATGGAATTGGTTTGCCACGTTTTATGAACCTTCCATCCCAATCTGGAAGTAAAAGTGCATTAATTATCCAGTAAATAACAATCTCTTTGCTGTGGTTGCAAAATCTGCTAGCCGAAGCAGCCTAGGACAGTACTGCTTCAAAATATTTTGCAGAAACAGTTTGAAAACCAAACCTGGGTTGTCTCAATGTGGAATAAGCCATGTTAGATATACCACATGTAAACTGCAAACATCTTGGTGGTTGACAGATAGCAGCATACAGGATATTTTTAATTCAACTTGCTGGTTGTCTGGATTTATTGCAGCTTAGCTTTGCTAGGTCTAAGCAGTATGACCCTAAGATGATGTTCTTAGATTTCCAAACAAGCCAAAAAGGATATTAAACTTAACTTCTCTGCCTATTGTCTACCATTTTTCTACAAAGACATTCCCCCCACCCTAAGTCTCCACCTGCCTCAACTAGGGGAAGAAGGACTGGTGAAAGAGGTATGCCAGTTTGAAGGTAAGCCCTAAAAGTAAAGTGACAATGAAAGGTGGAATGTAACTGATAACATATGGGATAAAAGTCTGTAGAGATCCTCAGTCATCCAGGTCATGGTTGTCTCAAAGGAGCTTTTTCAGGAGGCAAGTGCTTGGAGGTTTATCTGTGTTCTCAGGGTCACCTGAGTAGTGCTCCTGATTCCTGTAGTCTGCAATTCTCCCCCCTCTGGAAATTCATTCCTACTCCCACACCCTGAGGACACAGATAAACCTCCAAGTGCTTCAAGGACCCTCTCAAAGGATGCAGATTACCAGCTGTCTGCAAGGAATATAAATCCTTCCATTCCCCACTATCCTGTCAGAGCTGAAGAAGCTTCTAGGATGAGAAGCGAAACGTCTTCAAAAGAAAAAACAAGAAAGTCCAGTTGCCTCCTGAAAAAGCACCTTTGGGACAACAAATGGGGCAATTATTTTAACATATTGTCCCATGTCATGTTGTACATTGCAGCTTAAATCTAAGAAACCTCTACCAATTACAGTCAAAATAAGGAGGTTTTGAGACTCAATTAAAGTGGCAGATGAATATTTACCACCAATACTTACAGTATCTACAGAAATTCACAGAGCTCTGCCTCATCATCTAGCAATTCAAAACAGAATGACATCAGGCTTGCTACATGCTTCCTTGGGTCAAATTATTTTATACATGCTTTTAAAAGTGTGCCTTACTCTGTTAGTTATATTTAAATAGGGAAGTGGGATCCTAATTAGAAGCATGGAAGGCAGACACCCATTTAAAAATCCTGCAATTTATTCCTCAAGCAGTTACGTCTTTGGGAACATATAGCAATGGAAGTTTTCAGAAAGAAACCAGCGGTTGCACTCCGCTCTCCCAATTTAGTTTGGAGTTCAGAGCCACTGCTTTTCCTTCAAAATAAATCTGTCACTGCAGAGAATCATACTTAACATGACTGCCTTCTTTGCTCCTTCCTGGCACTGGCATGGTCCCTTGTCTTGCCCCATTGCCCAGGACAGCTAGCTGGATCCCGAAACAGCCAGGCTGAGTCAAAATGGTGCAATTAAGCTAAGCCAGAGCCAAAGCTAGACAATCAGTCTTGGTCTGTAGCTCCTGATCACCCTCACAAAAACTCAGAGAAGATGCGAAACAAAAGGACAGTCAGAAAAAAAAATGCTTAAGCACATCTAGAGCTGCATCTAAACACGAAGGAAAAAGGAGACTAAACAAGTGAAAGGTTTTTCTGTTTTCTCCCTGAGCCTAGTAATCCCTCTGATTACATCTAATACCTGCCAAAACCCATATGGTATGCCCACCCATCTCACTGTGTGATAATGCCACATGGCAAAATCTACCTATTAATATTAATTGTCAGCCAGAGAATCTTTCTGAACTGCTATAGTTTGAGATTGCCTCCAGAAAGCAGGGAACGGTTTAGCAGGGATTTTAGAGTAATTCTCATTCTTTCAGCCTGAGTCTCACATATGTGGAATGTTAAACAACATCCATCTCATTCCCACCACCTTCAGTTTCTAGCAGTTCTGTCATTAAATATCCCTATATTTGGTGGCTCCCACCTGCTGATTAAAGGCTTTACCTTACCATTTCCAGAAGCACCTGAGAGTAGGTAATGGACAATATGTTCCCTAGCTAGTTGGTCAGCTTGGCACTCCTCTGGCATATAGGATGTGCCCCTTGTGTAAACCATAGTAAGAAATGATTTATAAATTGTTGACATGTATCCCCCAAACTCATACCTACAAATACATGCCCCAGTTTTAAATTTAAACTGGAAAAAACCAAGCGACAAACTTATATTACAGGTAATCCTTATGACCACAATTGGGACCAAAATTTCCATTGCTAAGCAAAGAGGTTGTTTGATGAGATTTTATGATCTTTTTTGCCAAGCCTGTAAAGAAAATCTTTGCAGTTGTTAAGTGAATCATGCAGTTGTTAAGCAAATCCAGCTTCACTTACTGACTTTGCTTGTCAGAAGCTACCTGGGAAAGTTGCAAATAGCAATCACATGACTCTGGGATGATGCAAGAGTTGTTAATATGTTCCTATTGCCAAACCCCTCAATTTTGATCACATGACTGTGAGGAGGCTATGATGGTCGTAAGTCTGAGGACCAATTGTAAACCACTTTTTTGAGTGCCACTTTAACTTCATATAGTTGTTAAATGAATGATTGTAAGTCAAGGACTATCTACCGTGTTTCCCCAAAAATAAGACCCTGTCGTATATTTTTTTGAACCCTGAAATAAGTGCTTGGCCTTATTGCCATGCGCTCAAAAGCCCGATTGTGCTTATTATCAGGGGATGTCTTATTTTGGGGGAAACAGGGTAGTACATTTAGAGAATTTAATTGGAGTTTAGTAAGACAGTCCACACTCTGTAGGCAGAAATTCCTAGGTTCATTCCCCAGAAAACGCTGTTTCTGATATCAAACCTCAACAATATCAAAAGATAAATGCATCAATTACCTTGTTTAATTTAAGTCCCTTTTTTCTTGTTCCTGACATCTTTTAAGGTTAGAAAGAATAGGGTACAATACCTGTATATTTGATACAGATAACACTGCTAAAATTATTTATTCTTGAGAATCCTAACTACAAAAGTATTTTTTCAAAAGCATTTCCATAACAGTATTTTTGGGGCTTGTTTCCCTCCCATGGCCTTTCACATCTATTTTCCTGGCAGAGTGATACAAAAATTTCCATCATTAGTATAGAGCAAAGGAAGGTGATTAGGTTCCTATAAGGTCCTTCAGACGCCAACTCCCATCATTTCCACTTTTGAAGATTAAGAACTGTAGCTCCTATCTGTAACTATCTGGAGGAAACCATACTGCCAATTTCTGCTTAGGCTACCTTACTTGAGGTCCAAGTTGTCTCATTTGAAAGAATGCCTTCCCTTATGATTGAAGAAAGCACAGAATGCTGACTTTTTCTATGAACTGTCCACATCTGTGCTATAAGCTATTTTATAATTTTGCTCCCCGGCTATATTACTATTTATTCTGAAATACTATGTCTTTGCTCGCTGTCCCATTTCATAATTTTATGCTGCCTTTAATCCACATATCTCATGCCCAAAAATGTTTCTGTGCATCCAGAGACCATCTTGTAAAAATAGGGGTACTCAGTATGACGACGATCCCGTTGCAAACTGGTACTAAAGGTATGTAGAACCCACCCCTGATGCAAACCCCCTGCATGAGAGCATGCTCTTAAAAGAAACATTTTAGCATAAATGCTTGAGCTGCAGTGTGGTAGGACTGCGGTGAACAGAGTTTTCAAATTTCTTACCCTTATTTCTTATGAAGATATTTTTAATATCAGCTAGTAAAACATTATCAGATCTCGCGAATGAAGGTAAATTTACGTGTCCCAGGATAATGTTGCAGGATCCAATCTGATCACATGATCCTGGGATGCTGCAGCAGTAGTAATATGTACCTGTTGCCAAACCCATAGAACATATTCTGGAGAGAGAGAAGCTCCCTGATGATGAGCTCCAGCATGAGCCCGAATGCTTGGGAGAATGAACCTTTGGTCCCAGTGATTGGCTCTATCTCCTTTTCAAATCTCCTTTTCTATAAGATAGAAGCAAAAGATTGAAAGATTATTTCAGTTATGAATAAGTAATTAATAGGAAAAAATAGATAAATAAGAATAATAAGGAAAGAGCCACTTTGGTCTAGTGGATAAGAAAGCAGGCTAGAAACAGGAAACTCTGAATTCTAGTCCTGCCTTAGACGTGAAAGTTTGGGGCCAGTCACACAGTCTCAGTCCAAGCCACCTTGTAGATTTGTTGTGGAGAAAATAGGTGGAGGAAGGAATATTAGGTATGTACAAAACAATAAAGGCAGTATATAAATTAATAAAATAAAATAATAAATAAAAAATGCATGAGATTATTCCAGTGAAATTTAATTTGGAAGATATCTTCACTGATCAGATATTAAGAAAGGAGATTAATTTGGCACATTTTTGCTACATAGTGCTTACATAAAACAGATTTCCTTTCCCTTCTGAGAGACATCTGTTGGTAGTCAGTGACTTTTGCATTTAACTAACAGTCTCCAGATATTTGTGCAAGATTTGTTCATACTCAACCAGCAGTAGAATCAACTATATAGAGTCAATTATATATACAAAAAGAGATTTCCTTGGGTGATTTTGGAAATTTGTTTAAGTTTGGACCTGGTTAGGCATGGGATGGGAGACCACTAGGAAATCCCTGTGGGGTACTCTAGACTGGAAGGAAAAAAATATCCTGGAAAAAGGCAATAAGAACAATTTCTATTTAATTGCCAACAAAATGATGAAAACATGTCAAACTCAGCTTGAAGATGCTTTTACCTCTAAATAATATTTTAATCTAGATTTTTGCTTTTCACAGAGTATATTTATATGTGGAAATTGGGTGATTTGGCAGGATGGTGATTAAAAGAGAATAAATAGCTTGTAAAATAAATTATTTTACAAGTTGCCTTTAAAAGTTTCAAGATAAACAGTTTAATTCCGAGAAACAATGTGATCTCATAAATTGACCAATCATAGCTTCATCATGGAAAGTTCTAAAACATTCTGGTAGAGTTCCCTGAGGATGGGGTCCAGCACAAGTCTGAACCCTTGGAAGACTAAAGCTCTGACCCAGATTGGATCCTGCAAC